TTTAAAACAAAGCAAATCAAAGAGAAAGGCTTTTCTTGATATGACATATTTCATTAATGCTAAAATATATGTAGTAAGCAAAATATAAGTGAACATAATTTTTTGTATCAGAATCAGAACATTATAGGCCAACTGTACTTTGAACACATGGTTTCAATTAGAATAAAGGAGGTATAATGGCTTAAAAGGAATTATAACAAAATCCTCAAGCAATGTAAGTTTTATTTATTTAGAATGCAAAATTTTAATGCATTTTTGGGCTTTTTGATTCTGATATGTCATATTTGAATTAACTGAATTTTAATGAAGGTAGTCAAATGATTTTACTATTTAGAAATAAATTTAATAAACTGAATAGTCAGGAAATTGAAGTAATAATTTCAACGATGTTAATATTTTACAAACCCTGTGGGTTAACAAAATTTCAATGACATCTAAATTTCTAGCCTGTCTGGTGGTGCACACCTGTAATCCCATCTACTCAGAAAGCTGAGGCAAGAGAGTTTGTAAAATTTGAGGCCCGCCTCAGCAATTTAGCAAGACTGTCTTTATAACAAACAAATTAAGAGCTATCTGTAGAAATCTTGAAATCAGACTGTGAAAATGATATAAAGGGAAACAAAAATTCTGTGGCCATATAGGACTCAGTTCCCTGCTCTCATGATATTCTATTACCTAAGGGTATGGATAATATTCATTCCTAGAAAGCAAAATGCTTAACCATTTTCATTAACTATGTTTAAATAAAACATTTTATTGAGATAATTGTAGATCCACATGCAGTTTTAAGAAATATGGTGTGATTCTGTTCATCTGTTACCCAGTTTATTCGATCATAACATCTTGCAAGACCACAGTACAATACTATAACCATTGACATTGATAGAATTCAATGACTTTATTCAAGTCTTTCCTAGTTTTACTAATACTTATTTTCATGCACATGCATTTAGTTCTATACATTCTTTCACATGGGTAGGTACTGTGTATTTACCACCAAATTCAATATTCAGAACTACCAATCTGCTTTCCAGTTCCAAAATTTTGTCTTTTCAAAAGTATTATCTATGTGGAGTCATACAGTATATAACCTTTTGGGATTGGCCTTCCCCCCCACCCCCCAGCATAGTTCCCTGGAGATTAAAGATAGTTTATCCTTTTTATTATTGAGTAGTACTCCGTGGTATGGATATATCACTGTTTAATCATTCACCTGTGGAAGGGCATCTGGGCTGTATGTATCCAGCTTTTTGCTATTACAAATAACTTCCAGCTAATTTTTAAACAGATGTAGGAAATTTTGGCATATTTCAGTTGTTTGCAATTTTTGGTGATTGGCTCTTACCTTTTGCAAAGTTTTCCCCTAAATTTCTTTTCCACTTGATATTCATTCCAACATGTGTATTATTATTGCTATTTTGCAGATGAGGAAACTGAGGTTTTTAGAAGGGATTGTTAAATGACTTGGCCAAGTTCACACAGCTAGTAGATGGAAAAGCTAGGATTCCAACAGATCCTCTGACTCCAAAGCCTGTGTTCTTTCTACAAGTCTGTGCTACAAAGGAGCAAAAGGGAAGAGGGTGTGATTTTTATGTCAGTCTAGGCTTAAAGGAGGTAATACAATTCTACAGAAATAAAAGCAGAAACCTAACATATGTTTTGGAAGATGCTCTTCAGGGTCTCTAGCATTCGTACATGTCTTGCTGGATATGCCAAGGATGACCCTTTATTGTTTCTCAGAATTGACTTGCAGCAAGCCACCCTGAGGGCTGAAGTAACCTGGGACAAAAAACAACCTTGCTATTGCTGACTATAAAAGCATGAATTCTCCAAGCTAAGTGTTCCTCTCTTCTCTAATGCAGTCTACAGTGGGTGTAGGCATATATATTTGGGCCTTCTGCATCACCTCTGTGGGATATGGGAGCAAAGTGAATTGATGTAATCAGATGCTCATGCCTCTTGCTATTTTGTAATAAAGCTTTTTGTCTCTGATCCAGGATTCGTTTATCTTCTGCTAACTTCCACGAAACAGTAATAGGCTAATTTATTAGATTATAATTAGGATAAAATCAAATCCCAGACCCAAAAGTTTGTATCTAAAAGTCTCTGTAGCCCCTGGAAAACTTGGGAAAAGAAGGTACACGATCAAGCAGTCACAAGATAGTTAAAAAAGAGAAAGCTGGATTTTAAATTAATCAACTTTTGGCATGGGTTTATTTAAACTGCCCCTTGAACTTTTCACCCTATGGCTTTGTAAAAGAAGACTTTTAGTGCTTCAGGCTCCAAATTGCTCCTTGGGTGGTACTCTGCTCCCTGTATGTTAAGCTCAGGAATGCAAACTTCTCATGTGTTGGGGGCTACTTTTTCAGTGGGTCTTAGTGTTGTCATGATCATATGTGTTAAGAGGTTGGTTGACTGATTCCTGACAGTTTCCCAGTCAGGAAGTACTGTGAGGAAACACTACTTGGTAATTTATTAGCTGCAATGATAGGGCAGAGCTCCTTCTCTCTTGTCTCCTCCTTTATAAGTAACTAGACTTTAAGAGAGGAGTAACCAGGCCAGTTATCACACTGCAAAATTTATGTCTGGGGCAGGTGGGCAAAGCATGTTTCCCATATTGCAGAATAAAGCTCTACCTTCCTGATGTCAAAAAACAAAACAAAACAAAAAAGTTAATAACAGAGCAAGAGTGTTTCCTGGAGCCAAACCCAACTGTTCTCACCACTTCAGTTCAATTCTAGTTCTCCAGAAGTGTTCTTAATTAATAGCAATTATGGGGTACTTACATTAAGTAAGCTCAAGTCTGGTGAAAAAGCTGGAATGAATTCATTTACAATTAAGAAATATATAGCTGTCTAGAGTAGGGGTACTTCCTTGTTAGGGGCAAGTCTTCCCGGGCTTCAGCTCAAGTCACAAATCAGTTGCTTGGTGAACACAGAACTGAATACATTTACACGCAAATATGTACTCTCTAAAGTGACATAACCATCTAACTAAAGCAGCCACACAGATTACTCTTGATTTACTAAATTTTTATCTAAAAATTGGTGTGGAAGTTTACAAATCACTCATAATATTTACTGACCACCTATTAGGTCAGACACTTAAACTACATGTAAGTTCTGAATGTGCAGATCTATTTTTTCAACAAGTGCTTTATTTTTTATTTTTAAAATATTTATTTAGTTGTATATGAACACACAGTATCTTTATTTTTATGTAGTGCTGGGGATTGAACCCAGTACCTCACACATGCAAGGCAAGCACTTTACTACTGAGCTACAACCTCAGCCCCAACAAGTGCTTTATAATGACATATTTATTATCCAAATGCCCTTTTTAGTTCATCATTTAACCAACATTACTTCATCCCCAAAGAATGAAATTTATACTTTTAGGGGCTTTATATTTTCTCTCTTGATCCTCATCATAAATCTGTATAGTATATAATAATCATCTCATTTTACAGTTGAGAAACCTGAAATTTAAAGGAGCCAAGTAACATGTTTCAAGTTACACAATTAGCAAGTAGCAGCCGTGGGACCTGCCTTACTCCATGGAACCTTTGCTTTCCATTCTACAAAGATCCAGATTGATTCAAGGAACAAATTATTGAGCACCAACCAAATGCAAAGCTCACTATGTGCAAAGTACTGAGCCAATCTCCAAAGAGGACAAAATGGGTAGAAAAGCTCCTTGTATTCTTAGACCTTGCAGTATAGTGGGGAACACACACACACAGACACACACACACACATGAATTAAGCAGATTAGAGGTCAAATAATAGACTATGGGAGCATAAAGAAGATAAAGAAAATCTAGCTAGCAGAATTTGAGAAGGCTTTTTGGAAAAGGTAGCTGAAATTTGAATAAAAAGATTTTGCCAGGAGAATATGGAGAAAAAGTCAAAAAGTGAGGCAGCATCAGCAAAGATCTGAAGGCAGGGGGGAACTGGACATCAACTACATTATGGAGACAGAAGGTATTGGAGGCATTGTGGGAGATGAGAATGGCAGAGATAAGTTCAATTATAGAGGGCTTTTGTGTGAGTCAGAGAACTAGGAACTTTATTTTATATGTAAGGCAAGGATACTGGGCAGGGGAAGATTGCTCAAAACAATTTTCTTCTTCTTCTGGATCTCCACTGTTTTGCATAGTGGAGGGCACTTTCTAGATGCAAATAAATATGTTAAATTAATGGACTGGAAAAGGAATAGACTGGAGGTTGAGTTATCACGTTATTGTTATTGTCTGAGAAGATGGCAGATGTAATCAACACCACAGAGGGAAAAATGACTGTGATTTGGTCATATGGGAAAGAAGGCTGACTGAGTCTGGCCCATCAGAAAGATAGTTACATTGGCTATTGGCAACAGGGCGCACACATAGGAGGTATAGATAGATGATCTGGGTAGAATAGGAATAGAAAAGATTCTTCCCTTAATTACGTTGCTTTTGAAGTGCTGGTAGAATATGCAGTTTTTCTGGTAGCTGGGAGAAATGTAAACTTTTTGGGTCCAGAGCATTCACCAGCCAGCCTTTCTTTGAAGAAGTTATCCTCATATGTCTGATTTCATCTATTGCATTAACACAATTTTTGAACCAATTTCAGTTTGATGTTCTTCTTACATTGCCATTTTGTCTTATTTGGGTAGTAAACTAAGGAGAAAGTGGGGAGAAAAGCATTAAAGAAAATGAGGGGTTGGAGGTGAAGTGATCTGATTACCATGCTTTAAAAGCTGGGCAGACTTGACTCTCCGCCTTCTTTAACTGGGGTATGGATGTAGAAATAAAATTTAAAGGACAAACCCTGTACTTAGGAATCAGGGAGTAATCGAATAGCGTATACACGAACTATACCAACCCCCATCACAAAATAAGCCACATAACCCCAGGTGTCCGATTACTTTATTGACTACTCTTCTGACTGGAGCGTTTATATTGCAAGTTCAATGTTTGGGAGATCTACTGTTAGTAGCGCTATTTTGAGCTATATTACGCTGGGGAGCTGACGCGCCCTGAGAATTTGGTAGTCTGGGACACGAGGATTTCCTTTCCCTTCTCTTCCCACGGTGGCGACCTCCTCGCTTCACCAGAGAGAAGCTGCCCGCCGCTTTCCCCTTGGTCCAGTCCTTCCCTAGCCCACACCCACTGCAGCTGTACCAGCCCAGCCGCGTGGCACTTTCCCTCAGACACCCCCAGCTCCGCTGCACCCGCCCCCCGACCATCCAGGCGGGGCACGCGCCCCTGGTACCGTTGAAGCAAACTCCAACCGTCCCTTTTGTCCAGTCGGCGCGCGCGGGCGGGGCGGGCTGGCGCGCGAGCTGGGGGCGCGAGCCGCGGCGGGCGGGCGCGGGAGCCGGGCGGGGGCCAAGCGAGCGCGAGGTCGGGGGGCGGGAGCCCGCGGGAGCCCGCGGGTGCAAGTGCGCGCGGGACCAGCCTCGAGCCGGCGGGAAGAGCAGCGCGCAGAAGGGGCGCGCGAAGCGGCCGTTGGAGTCGCGGATGGGGAGCTCTCCCGTTTGCACTTCTGGTAGTAACTGAATACAGTGAAGTAGAAAAAGCAAAATGATAAGTATAACGGATCCCATTTTATGTGGGAAGATTCCTAGGGCCAAACTGTGTGTGCCCACGGATGTGGGTTAAAGGCACCAAGAATGGTCTGAGGATGCTATGGGGGAGGGAAGAGGTCCGGAGAACGGATGAAGGGAGTTAGCTTTTTACGTTGTATATTTTTGATACATTGAACATTATTATTGAGAATGAACGTATAATTGTGTAGTTAAAAAAAATCAGCATTTGGGAACTTTGGATACCCTCTTGGTTCCCATCCATAGGGATCTGCTTAGTCTCTCAGAGCAAAGCAAATTTGAGGGTCAAGAAAAATTTTCTGCGCTTTTATCTCTCTTCCTCACCGCTCCACCTCTTCTCCTGACCCTGAAATCCTTCCCTTTCGCCTTTGCCAAGGAGTCTCCCTCACAGCCCGACCTCTCACATCCTCCCTGCAAATCCGACTCTCAAGGAGGAGATATTTTGAAGCTAGTTAATTACAGGCACAGGAACATTTGAATTGACTTCGTTCCTAAATCATATTTGATAAAAATTGAGATAAATGTTTACAGGATATTTCTATTCCTTCTAAATAGTGTGCCTTAATGTTTTTATTAGAATGACCACATGATGTTAAGATTTTTTCTCATTTTGAAACACTTTCAGACTTAGAAAAAAGTTACAGAATTTGTAAAAAGAATTCCATTATTTTCTTCCCACAGCTTCCCCAAATATTGACAATTTATGTAACTGTAGCACGGTGATTATAACTAGGAAATTAGCATGACTACTCCTCTTTTAACTAATTTACAGATATTATTCAAATGTCTACAATTTTCTGACTAACCAGTGTCCTCCCACCCCACCCCACCCCCCCGCCCCCTAATCCTGAATCTTACAATGCACGCAGTTGACATGTCTACGTAGTTTCTTTTAATCTGTGACAGTTCTTGGTCTTTCTTATGACTGTGACGCTTTTTGAAGAGTACTGTTCAATTATTTTGTGGAATGTCCTTCAACTTGAATTTGTCTAGTACTTTCTCACAATTAACTTCAGATTATGCATTTTGGGTAAGAATACTACAGAATTGAGTTGTTCTCTTCTCAGTGCACTATATCAGGAGGTACACAATACCAATAGGTCCCATTAACGGTGATGGCTAACTCTGATCACTTGGTTAAGGTAGTATCTGCCAGGTTTGTTTATTGAAAAGTTGTGGGTTTTCTTTTTGTATTTAATTTTAGGGGTCACATATTTTTATTATATGCACAATAATTCAGCACTTATTATTATTTGGTACTAGGGATTGAACTCAGGGGGCACTCAACCACTGAGCCATGTCCCCAGCCCTATTTTGTACTTTATTTTGAGACAGGGTCTCACTGAGTTGCTTAAGGCCTGCTTTTGCAGAGGCTGGCTTTGAATTCAAGATCCTCCTGTCTCAGCCTCCCAAGCCGCTAGGATTATAGGCGTGTGCCACCGCGTCCGGCATTGCCAATGGATGCAATACCTTTATTTTATTTATTTTTATGTGGTACTGAGGATTGAACCCAGTGCCTCACATGTACTAGACAAGCCCTCTACCGCTGAGCTACAACCCCAGCTCTGCGTTCATGATTCTTGATTGCAACAGATTACGGAAGTATTTGTCAAATGATGATTCTATTTCTACTATCATGATGGAAATTTAAATCTGAATATTTAAATGCACACTAATTTTAAAGAAAGATTTTTATTTACTATTTTTTTTTCATGTTTTGCACTTGAAAGAAAAAGGCATTTGGACACTGCATATGTGTGCTGTGGAATTAATGACTAAAAAGTAATTTATAAATGTATTACAGATAACTTTATTCTAAGGAATGATTTACTGTTCTTAGTACTTGTAAGACCTTGGATTCTAAAAACCCCAATTTACATAGATTTAAGAGCTCAATAATTGAGTTGGTTTTATTCTTTGTACAAAATATGTACATTTAAAATGAAACAAAGATAAAACAATTTCATATTATTTCCAACCTATTGTTAATTTTAGTTGGCATTTGCAAAATTGATCATTTAAATTAACAATGCATTTGTCTCAAACAATGATTGTTCACTTTATTTAGCTTCAGTGTTTGCTGAAAGGATTTACTGGAAGTTGGAATGAGTACACCTTTTGAATGCACTGCAAGGAAAGTGGAATTTTTGTGGTAAAACTTAGAGGTCTTTTGATCTCAGTTGTTTGACTATCAAGCATTTTGGTAAATTCTCATTTGAAGATTAAGTTACCCTGTGAAGCAGTTTCCTTAACCTTTGTCATTGTGTATGGGAAACTGATCTAATATTGGGTCTTAAATCTTGATGCCATGCTTTTTTTTTTCTTTCTTATTTTTTGCTACCATGGAAAGCAATAGAATGAGTTTTCACTTTTTTTTTTTAAATCATGAACCCTTTCCCCAGAAAATGCACAAACCCACGTACTGCATTAGAGCAAAATGCAATCTGATGTCAAATTGTGTGTGTGTGTGTGTGTGTGTGTGTGTGTTGCAGGAGTGAAAAGTGGGCTGCCAGATCATAGTTTTTCCAGACACTATTTACACTCCTGCCATGTGGCACAGCTTGCCTTTCTAGGCAGCTCAGATGGGCAGCCAAAGCAACAGCCCATCTGTCTCCTCCTCATTCCCCTGTAGATCCCTTTCTCACCACCAACATCATCCTCTCCTCCATCACCGAGCCCCTACTGTGCTCAGCTTTCTTACTGGCTCGTCGCTCCTTATCTCTGTAACCGGTTCTTTCCCCTCTCAGAAACCTCTAGTTTAAGAAGATAGCTCAAAAGCTCCAGTGACAGAATCTGACCCCTTCCTAATGGATGGAGCTGAGAATTTATTGAATATGTATGTCAATGCTTTCCCTTCTCATCCAATAAGACGTCTTGCTACCTTTTCCCTGCTTGAAATAGAGGAAGAGCTGATAAGCACGATTGGGAAACAGGTCTAAGAATCAGTAGCTTTCCCGAACAGTGATCATTATCGAAGGACAGAAGATCACGGGTTAACAGGGTCCCTAAAATCCCTCGAAGGCAAGACGGGGCTGGAGGAAGATGGAGCTGAGGAATAGGGACCAGAGCCCATTAGAACGAAACGTTTTGTTTTTGAAAAAGGACAGGTGAATTGCGGGAACCCGCTCCTTCGCCCGCCAACCACTGGCCCCCTGCCGCGGGAACAGCCCACCGCGCCCGTCCCAGGCTCCGGCCCGCCACTTCCCGCGGCTGAGCTTGGCGCTCTCTCTCGCGCCGCTGCAGCCGTAGCTCCGGTGGCGGCCGGGTGGGGCCGCAAGTGAGCGGAGGGAATCCCTCCCGGGCTTGACGTCACCGAGCGCTGGCCAATGAGAAGCCCGAGACGGGGATTCCCGCTCCCGCTGCCGCCAGCCCGGCTTTTTAAATGGTACCCAGGGGAACGCTTCTGGAGCTGTGGGAAGAATGGGGGAAAAGAAGGTAGGTGGTGAAATATGAGGGACCTGGGGAACGAGACTCTAGGGGTTTGACGATTAGACCTTAAGTCGGGTTTGGGGGGGGGGGGGGGGGGACCGGAAGTGGTCGCGAAGAGGCCAAACTCGGGTCCCGCGAAGTCCGCCCGAGATGGAGTGGAAACTAGAGCGCACCGCCCGGCGGCGGATCCGGACGGAAGAAGAGATCCGGTGGGTGAGTAACGCCCTCTTGTTTCCTCGCTCAACGCTTTAAAGGGGCTTCTCGACGAAGGCACTGCTTGTAACCTGCTTAGAACCAAGAAACTATTACCTGGTCTTAATTTTGAGTTTTCTGATTCTGAAGGTGCCTCACAAAAAGGTGAACGTGGTTTTGACAAACTCATGAGCTAGAAAAATTCCACACCTGAAATGATTTTCCTAAACAATTTCTCTCTCAATGTGTTACCTGTTTTCAAAGGAGAACGTCATGAAGGTGCTCTCCAATGACATGAAGCAGAAGAGAAGTCAAGTTTCTCCCAAGGTATGTGTCCAGGGCCTGCCTTGCTGTCTTCATTCTGATCTGAAGCAAACTAATTCTTGCTAAAAAAGGCATTTAGAGGAAGTATGGGCTTGTCAGGAAATATGAGAATTAAAAAACCTCCATAATCTCAAGTGCAGAATCTAATTACATACCTTTAAAAATTCAAGAAACTGAAGATCTCTGACAAATAATGGTATCTGAATGGTGCTGTCTAGTTTTTTATCTGAATGTATATGAGTGATGCTGTAGTTTTGCCTCAGTAGCAAAGGATGAAGCTTGGATGTGTCAGGTAGGCAGTGCATTGCTAGCTGGCTGTTAGAATTTCATCTTAACAGTTGCTAGTTGCACTCCCCTCTGCTGCATTCTGAAACGTGCTTCCTAAAGAAATGAAAATGGTGCCATCTCGTGGACAATGCGGAGAAGTGGCATAATGCATCGCCCTTGAAAGATCCAGCCCAAAGGCTGTAAAAATCTAAAAAATTAACCTAACCCAAAGGCTTTTAGTTTCTCTTGTAATCACTGAAAAATCTAAAAAATTAAAAATCTCTCCACATAAACAACCCTCATTTGCTTTAAATCTCTAATTTTGACCATTTTCATGTTTCTCACTGTTTTAATAAAAATTTCTAGATAATTTACAATTTTAGTTTCTATATTAAAGTGTGACACTCTAAATTGAACACATAGCCAAACTTTCAGAATGTAATGACTACTGTTATTTATAGTGGAAGACAACTAATGACTATTAAACTTTTAAATTTTTTAAATACTTTAATGTTAAATACTGGAATATTCCACTTTAAATACTTTAATATTGATTTCCACCTCCCAGTTTGCTGGAGTTGTCTCTCATGCCCAGCTTATATATTATTATGACTCCTAGATATTTTACTGCCTAATAAGACAACTTATCTTTTAGTTAATAAGTGGAAGTAATTTGAAAAGTTATAGTAAGTAAGTAACTTGGTTAATTTGTTTGTGTTGCAGTAATGTATGTTCATTATCCAATAGTTTAATTGTAAAAAACCTAAGCATAAGTATTCTGAAAGTTAAATTTTTTTTCATAACTTTGTTTTTACCTAGATTAAGGTAAATAATGATATTTCTCATGGTAGTTGTGAGAAATAAGATATGCATATAAATATGTAAAATTAAAGTTCTGTTCTGTGTTTCATATTGTGAATTTAGCCTCACTAACTTCATGGGATGTGAAAAGCAGAAATGACCTGAATCAGGTAGGCAGTGTATTGTTAGCTGGCTGCTTTGGTCAAGTCAGCAGCCACAGCTACCCTGCCACTTGCTTCTGGATAAATTCCTCTTGTTAATGAAGTGCCTTGGTGACCTGTGTGTGATGGGTTGGCAGTGTATTGTTAGCTGGTTGATATATAAATGGCATCGGCTAACATGCAACTGCTATCTTATTGCATATACAATGAACATCAGAGTGTAATTAAATCTGTAATTAATGTGTGTATTGTTTTGCTATGAAGCAGTGTACTGTATACCATAACAGTTATTATTGTTATTGGTTACTTAATTATAACACAATGGGTAGCCTCATAATGGTGAGGGAAGTACCATAGTTACTTTAAAAATTTCAAGTAATATTTTTGACTGGAGTCTTAGCTAAACAATATTAAAGTAATTGTGAAATTATGTATTTTTTAAAATAAAATATTTAGAACATAAAGACAATTTTATCTTTCTCCAAGTTTTCAACTGAGTCTTTTGTATTCTTTCTGGACTATCAGTTTCTTAATTTGGCAGTAGAATATATCTCTATGACCATGTATACATACAGCTAAAGGGAGAATTGAAGTAATTTCTTAGTAAGTTGACTAAAACATTTTAACTCAAAATATGAAGAAAACTGTGGATTTTTTTTTTTTCTGGAAAATGAGTTGAATTTGGAATACTTACCTCCATTTTGAAAAAAATTATACTTCATATATTTATTATGTAATATTTGGAGATAATATGAGATTTGGCTTATGAAGTAGGAAGAACTGACCATAAATATAATTTTAAATATTTTCTCATTCCCTTGGAGGCCATTTTGACCTATGAAGCAGGGTCAGATGTATGTTGGGTCTCAAACATATGGTGTCCTAATGTGGACATTTGCAGCAAGTTAGTGCAACTGATTTTCATGATCTGGTTTATTAATTACTCCTAAGAGAAATATAAGAAATATAGTACAATGTTTACATTATTGTATTATAAGTTAGTTGGTAATTTTTGTGCTTATTTAAATTTAAACATTTCTAGAACATAGGTTGAATATGTACTGTAATTTGATGTTTATGCTTCTTACTACTTTCAGATTTCATTTCTGTTTTTGTTATTTGCCCAATCTGATTCTATTTTTAGGGTATTTGTGTTTAAGGATGCCTAATATGTAAATATTGTTTTCATTTTTTGTTGTTGTTGAGGATTGAACCCAGGGGTGCTTTATCACCAAGCTACTTTCTCCAGTTCCCCCCTTTTTTAACTTTGTATTTTGAGACAGGATCTCACTGAGTTGCTTAGGGCCTCACTAAGTTGCTGAGGCTGGTCTTGAACTTTCAATCCTCCTGCCTCAGTTTCCAAGTCATTGGGATTGTAGGCATGTACCACCATGTCTGGCTTCTTTTCATCTTTTTCAAAAGATTACATTTTGATGTGTTATTTCCTATAGATAGTCACTGACTTATCAATAAAAATAAAATCTACTGAATTTAGAGGGCTTGTCATTTGTGTTTTATTCTTTTTAAATTAAAGAGCAAGACACAAGACACCAGTATTTGTACTCAATTAGCAGAATACTTATTTAAGCTTTCTTTAATTTCGTATTATTGAGATGATGAGAAAGGAAAGAAAAGGAATAAAATGAAATAAAAATAAGTTAAAGAGATCAATGGGTAAGGGGAAAGATGAATACATCAATTAAAAAAGAAAATGTTTCCAAAGGTATGAGAAAGCCAGGGATACATGCTGGGAAGTCAAGGGGTAAGTAGAGGGAAAAGGGATTGGTGGAGTGGAAGGAAGCTCTACTGATGGTGAAGTATTTGCTCGTGGGCAGCCATTATGCTGTTCTCTGAGCTGAGAACGTAAATGCTCCCCATCACTGACCTCTAACTGGCTTCCTTATCTCTTGCTCTTTACTGCTCTTTATTCTTCCAAAAGAGAATGTGTCTCAACTCTGCAAAGTACGGCCCTAATAGTTTAGCTGGAGAAAGGGAACAAAAGGAAGAAGAGCTTGATGGGTTAGTCTGTATTTGTAACAGCTAGTTGACTTTTTTTTTGTGGTTCTGGGGATTGAACCCAGGGCCTTGTGCATGTGAGGCAAGCACTCTACCAACTGAGCTATATCCCCAGCCCCAAGCTAGTTGACTTTTATTATTCCATGGAAAAGATGACATCAGTCTAAGGAATAAATATGGACAGAACATCCCTTTATCAGTTCTATCCAAATGTCTGTCATTTTTCTTTCAAAGAAATACTGCTAATTAAGATGCTACTTTGTTCAGAAACCACCTAACACAAGGCAGTCTTCTGAAACATTTTTAAAGAAAATATAGTGAAAAAAAATTTTTTTTGGAGTGGGGGCTTTGTCTTTCTGTCCTTTCCTCCCTCTCTGCCTTCAATTCTCTTGGAGTTTTTTTCTTTTTCTTTTTCTTTTCTTTCTTCTTCTTTTTTTTATCTGCAGACAGCCTAGTTAAGTTGAAAGATTTTAGTGTAACTTCATATACTCCTACATTTTTATATAACCTGTCAAAATAGTGTATAACAGAAATAGAGTATGTATGATAGATTTTTGCTCTAGACTTTTCTCTTTGGAAATCCTTATGATTCCTTGATCAAGTCTTAATTTTTAGGAATTTTGATGTGCTAGAGCCAGTTTGTATTATTGGTCTGTGAAAATAAATTATTACATTTTCAGAAAATTTACAAATTAGTTATTAAATAAACCATTGATAGACTGAAATTGGCCACAGGGGAGCATTCATCCTTAGTGAATCCTGAATGGACACATTCCCTTTCTTTCAAGGAAATACATAGGACACCATGGAAATTGGCTAATTCCACAAGTCCAGGATTCCTTCTTCCTCCAGAATCTCTTGTTGAACATTCACCAGCCACCACTATAGATGTGCTATATATGCTAGAATTAAGACTTGTATATATGTACATATCCACATACTATACATACACTAAAATTATTAACATTTAAGAAAATGAAGTACAACTTTCAGGTAAATTCATACTTATTTCAGCCCCCAATACTCTCTTGTTACATCTGCCAAGAAATGATGATCAGGAATTATTATAATTTTTTCTCCACCATCCATCCAATGAAACTATCAAACTTCATGGTGAAATGAGACAGACATCATTAACCTAGGTACATGTATGACTGCACATATGGTGCAACTCTACATCATATACTACCAGATAAATGAAAAGCTGTGCTCCATTTGTGTACAATGAACTGAAATGCATTCTGTTGTCATAACTAATTAGAACAAATACAAAATTATTTACCTCAGTTAAAACACATTTGATTTTGCCCTTTTGCTTTGTCATGAAGAGATAAATACCCTTTTATGTAATGCCTGATATTTTTCTGTTATACTCTTTAGTTTAGGGATACTATTGCATTATGTGTTCCAGACAAGATTACAAGAGGACTGCTTAAGAAAAAATGCGACTTTTTCTCGGCATGTGTTTGTTTAGCAGTATTTGTGTAAAACATTTGACTTAAGGGTGGCAGCATATTAGCAAATGGCTCCACTCTCTCTCAGCACATGTAGCCTCATCCTTAGGGAATCCTGAATGGACACATTTCCTTTCTTTCAAGGAAATGGATAGGACACATTTTTAAAGCCCCACCTGCCTGCTGTGAATAGCCAAAGCCTAAGGGGAGACTGGCTATTGAAGAGGCAGTAGGTTGGATAAGGCAACCAGGGTTGGAAATTTTTAAATGAGAAGTGCATTTATATGGCTTTGGAAAGAACTAAGGCAGGGTGGGCATCTGAATAACATTTGTGGAGACAGTGAAGACCATCTCGCAGTGCATCTGTTACGGTCTGGCATTGGGGACTTGCCTGTGTGGGGCTGGCACATGCAATTCTGCTCACACCCTTAATGAGGTACACCAAAACACCCTGGCAGTGCCACTGTGCTGAAGGGGAGCTCAAGGAAGTAAGTGGGGGCATGAGGCAAGAATGCTCTGGAAGCAACACTTGAAGGGGTTACCTGGACTAAATTTTTGTTTAGAGGCTCAGAATTCAATTGCTAAGACTCCGGGGTAAATTGCAAAGGATACCTACTAGAAATCTAGTTAGGTAGCTCCTGTGTCTTTGCCAACATCTAGGCTAGTTCTGATTTCTTTTCTGCTAAGTATATTCATTGACTTTTAAGGGGGCTCTGTGTTTCTTTCCGTCCTCTACTTAATTTGTAGGTGAGGAAACTGAAAGTGACAAGTCACATAGCAGCTGAGAGGGGAGCAGGTTTGCTGATACACTAATCTGGCATTCTTGAGGCTATCCCTGTAAATCACTAGGATGGAAACTGCCTCCACCGCCACCTACTATTACACTAAGCACACTTGAAGCTGAATAGTTGCATGGATACTTTAAAGCAGAAGGTACTCCAGGAAATATTTGTTGTTTTCCTAAGAACTTAATCCAGACCTAGAACTATAAGCTTTGGTGGTGTTACTGAATTCACCACAAAAATCTTTCACCTATCAAATCAGAATTTGGGAGTCAAACCACAGGCTATTAGGTCTTCTTCCTCCTTAGCCAAATTTTACATGAGTGCATTTTTTTTTCTCTCATTGTCATACAGATTTTGCTTCAGTCTTTAATCCTTTTATGCAGTGAATACATATTTCATGAGGTTATAATTAACCTTCACCAACTTGGCAGGTTGTTGCTAAATGATCACATGCTCATGGCCCTTTTCCTACACTTGGGATTTTTTCACTCAAAAATAAGGCAGACTCAACTGTTCTGTCTGGAATTTGGATTGCTTCCAGAAAACAATGGTGGTGTTGAAAATGATAGACTTTTTCAAATACTATAATATCATTTAAAAAGACTAAGTATAGTAAAACACACTAGAAACCTATACTTAAAAGAGCAAAATTCTGTACATGAAACAAAGGTATGTAAGGATTTGAATGTATTTTACATTTTCATTATTTGTTTTATTGCATCAACATAGCCATTTATAGTTACATCAAAAATTTCAGTCACACACAATTCATGAAATCCAAACAGTGGTCTAGGGTGTTGGCATTTCCATAAAGTACAATCCAATAAAATGTCAAGTTGGACAATGGGATATGGAACACATTGGTGACTGTGTATTCTGAAATTTTTAGTATATCAGATGAAGTATTTTAATTCTTTGGCTACTTTTTTTTTTTTTTTAAGCTTTGGGTTACATCTCTGTCCTGAGGATGTTCATTACCATTGACTAGCAAGATAACATTAAAAAAAAAAATTCTTCAGTGCTGTAAATGCTGTCAAAGTATTTAAAAAGAGATCAAATCCTCATGGAGATATTTCTCTGTGAATTAGAGTGGCTTGATGGTATTTTCATAGGTCCTCTTTCTTTTTTAGGATGAGTTTTCCAACCAGATTTGCTATCTCAGGTCTGATGGCTTCAATGGGCTCCTCTGGCCTCCAGAACTTCACGACTTGACCCTCAGGGTTGACTAGATACTTCCAAAAATTCCACCGTGGTTCCTTCTTTGAAGAATCTAAAATATACACAACATATTTTCATGAGCACAACTTTATTCTTAAGATTTTCTTTTCTTTTTGTATTTGCATAAGTGACAACTTTAGAATCAGGTTCTAGAAAGCAAAACAAAACACCCAAACAAAGTAGAGCACAAGTTTGAGTAATGAGGTTTTAATATACTCAATGGGTTCACTGATGACTCTACTGATCTGGAACCATAAAATGAAACAAAGTTGTTTAATTTTTAATTTCTTTTCAGTTCTGGGAATTGAACCTAGGACCTTGTGCACGCTAGGCAAGCACTCTACCCCCAGCCCCCAAAGCAGTCTATTTTAGATTTGTTGATCTAAATAAGAAATTTACCTTGTCACTAACTCAAAATTTTTTAAGAATAAGTCCTTGGTAATGAAAATGTGGGAATTAATTTTCATGTTAAATATATGAATGTTTTTAAAACTATTACATAGCTGAAAATGACAAGGAATTTAGCCACTTTATTTTGAAAAATTATGAATCTTTTGATAAATCTAAGAAATGTAGATTTTTCCTCCTGTATATTATCCATAATTTATGTTCAGATCATTGATATACATCAGAACAAGATATAATAACTATAAAATTTATCAAGTGGGGGCTGGGGTTGTATCTCAGTGGTAGAACACTCGCCTAGCATGTGTGAGGCACTGGGTTCGATCCTCAGCACCACATAAAAATAAAATAAAGTTATTGTACACCTACAACACATACACACATACATATACATACATATATATATATATATATATATATATATATATAATATATTATATATATATATTTTTTTTAAGTTTATCAAGTGCTTACTATGTGCCTAGTAAAATATGTTCAGTGCTTTGAATAGATCCTCTTTTTTTTTTTTTTTCCAGTACTGGGGATTCAACTCAGGGGTTCTCTAACACTGAGCTAAATTCCCAGCAAGTTGGAGGTGGGCCTCCAACTTGCTATCCTCCTGACTCAGCCTCCCAAGTTGCCAGAATTACAGGCCTGGACCACAGTGCCCGGTCTGTTGTAGCTTTACAGAACCCCTCTGAGATGGGTATTATTATTTAATCCCCATTTTGCAGATGGGGAGAAGGAGGCCTACACTGAAGATGATGTGGTTAGTGATTGACAGGGCCAAGGTTGATAGTCAGGCCTTCTTCTAGTGTTTGTGCTCTTAACCTCTGGGCACTATTACTAAGGATCGAACCCAGTGCCTCACACATGAGGCTACAGCCCCAGCCCCTTACAAGCTTTTTTAGTGATGAAGAGGAATAACCTATGAGCTACTATGTCTAAGCATTTGGCTACTATAATTGATGAAAGATCATTTTAAGGACATATATTCTGGATTTTCTTTTTTCCACTAAACCCCAGAAATAAAAGGAATAAAGACTTCCTGGTTGGTATTCATGATGTTAGGCACTAAATCAACTTTCCCTACAAATTGAATATAATGTTTTTAGAAGTTTCTTATTACTTACATAAAATATTATTGAACATCTTGTTTGTTGAATTGAAGCTTGATATGCCTGAGGTCATGGTTTTATCAAAACTCAAATTATTTACAGTGAAAATAGGTCTGAAGATGACATCAGTATAAGGTAAGAGACCATTAGCTGAGTGCCATTTAGAGTAGTATCTGGTACAGAGTGAGCAGTGTGTAAGTGTTTGACTATGAATATACTTAATCCTCCCAAAAAACTTAGTGAGTAGGTACTACTTATAGCCCCATTTTACAAATGAGGAAACAGGTACAGGAAGTTAAGTTGTATGCTTGAAGCCACACAGCAAAAGCAACTGAGCAGGAGTTTGTGCCCAGGTAAGACCAAAGTTTCTATCCACACTACCTTTTTTTTTTTTTTTTTTGGTGGTGGTACTGAGAATTGAATCCAGGGCCTTGTGCATGCAAGGCAAGCACTCTACCAACTGAGCTATATCCCCAGCCCCTATCTACACTACCTTTATGCTAACTAACCTTAGGAAGTCTTTAAATAAATTCTTCTGTGCTAGCTTAATTGTAAAGAAAGCCTAATATTAATGCTTTCTGAAAAAAAATTCAAGTTTTATTTTAGTAAAAACCTGGTAAACTGAGAAATTCATCCTTGAGGATAATGTCTCAGATAAGAAAGGAAATATAAAATCAACCATAAAGATATGTTCAGTTGATAATGCTCAGCAATAGTTATGAAATGTGCAGATTTAATAATGGGGAGGGACATTGCCCCAAAATGCTAGTTAAGCAAAAGGAGAATTATGATAATTTGTTAAAAATGTCACAGTCATATTTCAAGTAAAGTCTTCAGGAAGATGGTCGTAAGAAATTAAATACATTGGAGTAAACTTCTTTTGCCATCTAAGAATACTGATTTTTATGGTAGCATAACTTCTAGAAAGTTACAAAGACTCTGTCTTTTTGATCGTTTTATGAAAATTTTCCCAATAAAAAATTTCAAATGAAATAAAAAGTATAGTCCTGGTATATTTGTGTAAGAATGAATAGCAATTAAAGACATACTGGTGAGGCAAATATATTTACCAACAAGAAATCTAAATGCGGGTTCTGCTTCAGATCCTAGGATCTTAATCTTGTGGAAGATGGGGAATGTTATTCCGTAGTTTTGTCTTGCAAAAGATTCTACTTCCTTGCTCGAACGGGGTTCCGATTCTCCAAACTGATTGCATGGAAACGCCAGGACGCTGAAGTGGAATGGTCCAAACTCTTTGTGCAGTTCCTTCAGTGCTAAGTAATTTCTGTCTGTGAGTTGGCAGTCACTAGCCACGTTTACAACTAGTGAAACCTCCCGGAAAAAGAAAAACATCCAACCGGAAAGTGAAGCAAAAGATTAAAAAACCCCTCCCCTCCTGCATGTAGTTAAAATCCTAAGCCATTTTAGGGGAATATAACCTCTGATGGATGATGATTTCATGCTTTTTAGACATACCCAGTTTTATTGAAAACTATACCTAAATGCACAAGTTCAGACTGATACATTACTGCCATTAAAAAGCATTAGGGATGCATGAAAACTTATTTAAAAATAAATGATAATATCATCACTGATAGGGTGCTTTTTATTGTTAGATTATAGATGATACTTTTACTAGTAATCATCACTATATTCACATTACTAACTATAAGCATTTTCTAGACAACTTAAAACAAAAAATAGAGCATTTTTGAGAAAAATAAGATAATTAGAAAGCATATAAACTCTCAAAACTGATAACTAAAGTGATGTACTAATAACATTACATTGAAGACCAAATTTTAACTAGTAACTATGCAATGGCAAGGCATTGATTCTACTAAGAGATAAAGCAGAGACATGGAAAATCAACAGATATAAAATCCGAAAATTCAACTTACTTTGCCTTTAAACTTTTCCAGAGAAACAGTTCTTCCTTTTGCATCTTTCACTTCAAAGGCATAAAAGCTGTTGATTCTAGGTTTTAGGAATTTTAGTTGTAGGAGAAATAGCATCATTGTGCACAGAACCATAGAGAGCAAAACTGCAAATATTTTCACTTTGGGCCCAGAACATTTTAACGGATGAGCAGCGAGAGGCTCCATTTTGGTTGATTCTACAGGGAAGTTTCATCAGGCTGGAATTCAAAGGAGGAGCTGAAACTTGAAACCCGCTTAATCTAACAAACCAGGAAGGATAGACTAGCTCCTTTCACTGCTGAGGAGTAGAAGAATACTTCTCAGAAGGCAGATGTAGTGAAACTTCCAAATGAAATAAAGAGCACTACAGAATTTCAATCTATTAGTGATAAAACTGCCATTTTTTGTCAGAAAAATCAGGACATTTTTGGTATTTCCCTAACTCCTTTCCTACAAAGAAAATATTTCACCAGAAGATGGTGCTCTTGTAATTTGGAAACTGAAATCTTAACTGCCCTAGTAAGCATCCTATCTTTATAGAACTATTGAGAACTGGGTAGGTATGATGCCCAGGTATAGAATGTAGATTAAGTGTGAACTATGAACATGATGTATGACCTGAAGGAACTTTATATTATCTGTATGGATTAAACATATTACATGAATTCAAGGAATTTATAGTGGAAAGCACCATGATATATTTGAAAAGGCTATTTATTCTGGTCTCATCTAGCTAAGGCAATCCAATTCCAGAAGAATGCAGTAAAAGTAAATAGAAAATAAGACATTTATAGCATAACTTAGCACACACACACACACACACACACACACACATATAAATTGCCCTGAGAATTTTCCTGATGTAATACTTCTCCTTTGAACTGCAAGACAACTATGTCCATTGCATTTTTAAGCAGCCTGATTCTGCCATGAAAATGATTTCACAATTCACCAACAGATGTCACGTGTATATTTAAAAATACTGAACTCTATAATAGATCTATTTAACAGTTAAAAAATAATTCTATCAAAACCCCCCAAACCCTCATTTACTTGGGTCCTTCAAGTATTTGCTTTATTTTTTATCTTTTTTTTCTTCTGGCAGTTGCCTGTTTCAGGAGGTCTGACTTTCAATTGCTAAAGATCATAGATTTTAAGGGGAGAAAGAGTTGCATAGCCTAAAATTCATGGTTCATCAGTCACCTTAGAATCTGCACTGTTTAAGACAATGCACGTTCTGAATAAGGTGTGTCCACTTGGGCACAGTGTTATGGTGAGTTTCCAGAAAGTGCACAGAGTGAGCTGAGAAACTTGTGGGAGTGCCCTTCCTTCCACCTTTTGGGTGTTGGAGCTTTCGAGCTGGTGCTCAGGTGGAAACCCTGCTCTTCCTCTGGTCCCTCCTTCTGTGTGTTTGGGGGTAGCTGAGCTTGGGCTTAGTAAGAGGACCCATTTTAATACTTCCTTCATGGCCTAAGAATGAATAGGAAAACAAAAACCAAAAATCAATCCAAAAATCAAACAAACCCCAAACCTTAGTATTTCTTTTGAACATTTTTTCTAGTAAAGAACAAAAATGTACACAAACTGTGTTGTGTTACTTCTCAACTGTGGTAGTTTACTTTGGTGAATTCTGGCTGAGTTGTTTAAATTGTTAATGTCCCTGTGTTACCTGTTCCACAAGAACTGCTATGGTATCTATCTGGTCTTGTTTTCCAGGTGAGATTCTTGGGCCTACAGCATGGCTATCACCTGGGTATTTTTTAAGAAACATGGCTTGTAGGTCCCACCTCAGATTTCCTGAATCAGAACATGTAGTTTTATAGATTTTGTACATTTAAGTTTGAGAGCCTTTACATTCCAATCTTGTTTGGGTTACACAGTAGATATGTTGCAGGTCTCCACGAATATACTAGATGTTTTAATTAACTCCTTGGGCAGTCCAAGCAAATGGTTCAAGACTTGCACTTTAAAAGTTAATTCATAGAATGCATGCTATACATGTAAAACTGTCCGGTTACAGCTGTGCTTTGAGATGAGGAGAAAAAATGCTTATGTCTGGGAAGGGTGTTGACTGACTGTTCCCCAGGCAGGATCCCATGGGATGATATTATTTTGATAAACTCATTATGATAGCTGCTGGTCCATCGTTTTAAAAGCACATTGAGCATTGAGTGACCCAGAGCTGAATGAATCTGAGAGATCCAAACTTACACTGTATAAACTTGCCAATGAGGGCTGGGGATGTGGCTCAAGCAGTAGTGTGCTCGCCTGGCATGCGTGGGGTGCTGGGTTCAATCCTCCTCAGCATCACATAAAATAAAAAGATGTGTCCACCGAAAAAACTAAAAAATAAATATTAAAAAAATTCTCTCTCTCTCTCTCTTTAACAAACAACAACATCAACAAACTTGCCAATAATTGCTGTATAAGCCAGCATGCTTCATAAATAAGAATGATTATGCAAGTCTGATGCTTAGGTAGGCTTGACCTGAGATTTACTAAATATGAACACTACTCTGAAAGTGTAAGTGTACGTCTCTTATAAAGGATGAAATAAGAATCAGTGTGTAATTAAATGATCCTAAGTCTTGAGAATCTGAAATGATGAAATCATAATATATGAATGTTTACTTAGGTCTGTTAAATGATGGTTTGGAGAATTCTGGTTCTAGATATAGACAAATTTGGCCCCTGCATATACCTCTTTGTTCATTTAGCAGAGTCTTTCTCTGTATATGTTTTGACAACATCATCTCTCAACTTCTGGTGATCTGTTCTCATTTTCCATGTTTTTTTCCTATAGAAAGACTAATCTCAAACTATATATCATAATTGCAGATTTCTCTGTATAGCGACAGTATGCTAAAAACATCCGCAAATACTATTTTAAAAAAGTTTTTTTTTAGTTGTAGATGGACACAATACCTTTGTTTAATTTATGTTTATGTGGTGCTGAGAATCGAACCCAGTGCCTCACATGTGCTAGGCAAGTGCTCTACCACTGAGCCACAACCCCACACAAATACTCTTTTAGTAGATTAAGGGAAACTACCTAAAGGAGAGGAAGAGAGTAAAGGTCAAGTCTAGGGGAAGACATGGAGTCCACAGTGGGATAAAGCAATTGACTCAGCTAACCAACTCAGGCTTTGTAGAGGATATAAATAAAGTGTTAGTGAATGAGCTGGCCCTTACAAACTAAAAGCAATTTTGGAGATATGAGAGCATACATGAAACAAGGAAGAATTATAAGGCAGAAAATAAGTGAGTGCTAAATAACTTATGTTTTAGCTTTATATTGACCCTTGTACAAAATTACTTTTCCTTATGAGCTTTATACTGTATGTAATCTCCTTTAGTATACACATTATTTCCCTTGTAATAATCATTTGATATAGGAAGAAGGTAATAACTCAGCCAAGATCACAGAACTCATGAATGGAGTGGTGTTTAGGACTTTCAACTTCATAACTCAAATTATTTCTTCTGTATTCAAGCATTTCTTTGTAATTGATAAAATACGTTTAGAAGAAAACAGGAGGCAAGATTGCTGTAGTACTTTGGTGAAGGGGTTTTATTCATCTGGAGACATTTAGTTTTATAAGAAATCACTGTAGGAGCTTAAAAAGGGGAGAAAGAGGAAAACAACAGCAAAAAATTTGTCCATGTGTACTGAAGTTATCTGGAAGGTGTCCCAGGAGGTCTGCAGAACAACAAGTCAAGAGAAGACAGTTTCAGTGAAGGCAGCCTTTGCCAGTGAGATGCAAGAAAAGGGAAGGATGCTATCGATGCTCTGGAGCCCCCGTGGTGGGCATTGGCAAAGGAGCACAATAGTACCTCCCACCTGAAAATGGTCTTGTTGGTTTTGATTTAAAATGTATTTATTTATTTAAAAAGATTTTTTAGTTGTAGTTTGACACAATATCTTTATTTTATTCATTCATTTTTATGTGGTGCTGAGGCTCAAACTCACTGCCTCACATGTTCTAGGCAAGTGCTCTACTGCTAAGCCACAACCCCAGCCCTTGATTTAAATTTATTTTTAAACTGATACTTAAAAACTTAAAAATTAGCTTGGGCTTGTAGCTCAATGGTAGAACACTTGCCTGGCATGTATGAGGCACTGGGTTTGATCTTCAGCACCATATACAAATAAATAAATAAAATAAATGTATCGTGTCCATCTACAACTAAAAATATTAAAAAACCTTAAAAAATTATTCATATTTATGGGCTACCTATGTGATGCTTCAATACATGTATATGTTGTATAATGTTTGAATCAGTAAACCTTTTTTATCTCCTCAAATATTTATCATTTTATTATGGTGAAAACATTCAGAATCCTTTCTTTTAGCTGTTTGAAATATACAGCACATTATCATCATCTGTAGGATCTCGACAGTTTCAGCTTGTGCTTTATTGCCCATCCAATAGAATGCCAAGGCAGTTAGGGATTCAGATATAAGAAGAGGATTTTTTTTTTTGACTTATCCAAATGGTCAGAAATTTAGGGTCAGAGACCCTAAATTTGAGATGTCTCGTGAACAGAATGCTGCTCCTAGGGTGGTTGATGGTGGGTGGCAGCAGGGGCAGACATCCAGAGGTTAGGAAGGACAGGTGGGGTTATGCCTGAGCCTACAGGCCATCTTTGCTGCTTTAGACTTTGTCGTGAGGTTCTCACAGTCTCCAGCAACATCAGCATGCCTCCTCTGGAATGTCCAGGTTTTCCCCACCCTCTAAATGATTTGTGTGTCAGATTAGATAGATCCATTTGTTTCTGTTTTCTTAGTTGTTTCATTTTGTTACTTCCTGACCTTATTTTTAACCTCTCTAGGCTCCTTTCTATTTATTTGTTGGCCCTGGTGCTCTGAATTCCTCCTGATACAGTGTCAGTGTGATGAGAATCTCAGGGTAAACAAGCTGAACCCATGTGCCTGGACTACGGAGTCATTCATCCTTTTTCCCTTCTTTGTCTTATTTTTCTTATCTTCCTCTTCCTCTCTATTAATAAATACTTGAGTCATTTGAAACTATGCGACAGGCATTTCCTCAGCAGGAGATAGATCCTGGAACAAAAGTTTAAAAACATTGAAACTCAGTGTTTCCTGAGCTGTGGTCATTTGCATGAGTCCTCTGACATTTTTTTATAATTGCATATAATTTATTTACTTAACATTTTTATTTGAATATATTCACTTATTTTGCTATTTTTTTTAATAAGGGAAACTTTATGTCATTACTAAAAATTAAAAACATTAAACATTTACATTGAAAGTATGGAACTATTAAAACATTTTCATCCGTACCACTACAAACACTATATACCTAGTGGAAGGACTGAGAATTTTATTTTATATTCAAAGTGTTAAGAGAAGTTGTTCTTTAATTCTTTGAAAGTTCTTTGTGTTGAATAAAAATTTATCTCCCCCGTTCATTGGTCCTGTTTTGGCCATAGGGGGCAATGCAGAGTAAGTTTTTCTTGTTTTCATAAATTGCATCATTTTAATATGCGAAGACAGTTCCTTTTGAGTCTTCTTTATTTTAGATTAAACATCCTCATGTAAGGAGGACCTCACATATGTTGGGGGTGATACTCTGCTACTACCATCACTCTGATCCCCGATTGTGGTTCCTTTCCTCCAATGAACTTGGGTTTTGAATCCTGTCATATCCATCTCCCTTCTTGAATCACAGTTCAGAGTCCAGAAACTGTTCTCCAGATGAGTTCTGACTGGTCCAGAAACAGTGGGATTTTGCCTGCTACTATTCCAAACACCGTTTTCCCCTTATATTTCCTAAAATTATACTGTTCTTTTTTAAAAAAGGCAATTTCACTACTCTGTTGACCTATACTGTAGTGGTGGTGGTCTTAACCTGCAAGTGGTTCTCTCCCATCTTTTGCTTGTACAGTGAAAAGAACCATACATTTAATTTTATTGGCTTTTGATCTCACATTTTATTCTGAATCCCATTTCTATCTTTTAATATTTTAACTTAAAACAATCAACCATTTTGATAAATAAATGTCCACTTCAGCCACTGATGAAGTTAAATAGTGTATGGCCAGGGACAAAACCTGCAGCCCATCACAGGGAATGTATATAGGATAACATGGATCTAGGAAGACATGTGCCATTTAGGACCCTGGCTGCAAATTTATTTTATTGCTTGTTCTTCCTATTTGAAGACTATGAAAAATGTTTGTCTGTAGGAGGGGCATTTTCTTATTTGTCATGTTTATTTTTTCATAGCTCACTAACAAGTATTGGTTTTGGAAGGGTTTTCGGTTATCTGCTTTAAAGACTTGCCCTTATTTAAAATGCCCAGATGCATCTTGTTGCTTCATTTATATCAGTCTCTAGTTTCTAGAGAAATGTTTCTTTTACCTCATCCAATTTGAAAATTGTTCTTATTAATGGAGAAGAAAGAAATTAGCCTTGTTTCCTTGCCTCTGGATTCTTTCTTAAATCCCTTGTGCCTTTTTAGCACCAATGGTCTCTAAGAGAAGAGATTCATTCATTTATTCATTATGGAGTTCTGAGATGCTAATAAATAATTCTATGCCCCAAAGCTATCAAGGTAAAAGACAAAGTCCCTGGTCTTCAGGAGTGCATAATATAGTAGGAGAAAAATAAAAATAAGCAGAAAAGTGGGAGGATGAGCCCAGGAGCTCAAAGCACAGGGATTAGATTGATTTGTCAGAGTTCGAAACCTTGGCAGGGTCACCCTTCTTCATTGTGAAGATTGAACACTGCATATTCCAAAGGCTGCCACTCATGGAGGCAATGTGTGTATAACCGTATGCAGTGGCCTGAATCTTGGATGCACCACTTAGCTCTACACTCTTGCTTATTGAGCACTTGATAAATATTATTGTTAATAATATAATGTGGTGGTGCTGTTTTGGAGGCACACCTGGTCAGCTGTGGAAGTCCAATGCAGGCTGCACATTGATTCCCTACAACTGCTGTAATGAATTACTATAAACTTGGTGGCTTAAAACGCATATTTATTCTCTTATGGAGGCTAGAGTTCTGAGATCAGTTTCACTAGGCAGAAGCCAAGGTGCCTGCAGGGTCTTGCTTCACCCAGGGGTTCCTGGGGAGGATCCATGCCTTGCTATCCAGATTCCCATGACTGCCAGCATTTCTTGACGTGGGAGCATTATCACTCAGGCCTCTGCCTCTGTGATCATGTTGCCATCTCCCTGTCTGTATGTAGCCAAATCTCCCTCTGTCTTCCTCTTAGAAGGACATGGAATTGCATTCAGGACTCAAAAAGATAATTTAGGATCTATTCTTCCCATCTCAGTTTAGATTAATCCTTAATCACATGTTCAAAGTCCCTTTATCATGTAAGGTGACAATAGCAAGTTCTAGGAACTAGGATCTGGATATCTTTGGGGACCATTATTTGGCCCCAAACAAGTTGCCTGATGAAACTTGAATGGGTAGGAATGGAAGGTCAGAGATGCTTTCCTGAAGGAGCTGTTGGAGAGCATATTGGTAAAGATGGGCTAGGAGATCCAAAAATGAGAAACATTCAAGATTGACAGAGTGACAGAGCTGAGCCAGAGGATAATGGACCTTATTTCCCCCTTTTCAACTCAGGATCATTTTTTAAAATGAATATTTAAGTTCTAGGATGCCAAGGAAACCCTTGAGCAAGTTAATTTTTTTTTTTTCTTCAAAATTAACTACATCTTCAGCGATGGTGGCTCCTCCACCTGCAAGGGCAGGAGCTGCTTGGCTAGTCTTATGGAGGCCCAGATATCCTCTGTTTGGTCCCACAGTGTCTTAAAAATTAACTTTAATCAGCTGAAAATTTGGAAAAATAGAGAAATCTATATAATTACTTCCTAAACTATTTTGGTTTGTCTACAGATTCTTCAGTAGAGGCTCTAAATATATAATGGGTTTAATTTTTTTTGTAGTTGTAGATGGACAGCATGCCTTTATTTTATTTGTTTCATTTTTATGTGATCCTAAGGATTGAACCCAGTGCCTCACCCATGCTAGGCAAGTGCTCTGCCTCTGAGCTACAGCCCCAGCCCCATGTATGTTCCCCCCTTCCCTCACACTAGAGGTTAAACCGAGGGACTCTCCACCACTCAGTTACTCCCCAAGCCCTTTTGATAAAGGGTCTCAGTTGACCAGACTGGCTTTCGACTTGTGATCTCCCTGACTCACCCCCTGTCTATCTAACAATCTAATATTCTCCCAGGTCACAAAAATTAAAATATTTTATACCCACATATTCTGTGTTGTATTAGATAACTCACTTGTAATTCTCTTGTAAGGAATTTTTATTTTTGCATCATTGAGTTTGCTATAAATTGTGGCTTTCTTTGTTGTTAAAACAGGTATTGGATTCAGTTACTACTACATATTCTAACTTCAAGAGCAACTTTTTGAAGCGCCTGTCAGCAGAGCTTCCTGTTGCCAGTAGCCCAATCGCCACAAGATGGCAGCAAAGGCAAACCGGGGACTTGGCCTGTTCCTTTGGAGCTGAGCTTTCCACCACTGACATCCCTGAATCCCTTCAATCAGTGCTGGGAACACCTGAGAAAGACACCTTGACTCCAGGTGAGCCTAGTTTTGAAATGTTAAAAGGAATGTATTCCTGAGAGAATCTTTGCCTTAAAGAACTATTTAATGTCATATCTAGTCAACTGCTTTTCCCTTTTTTCCCCCTCCCCTCCTCCCTTTTTTGGTCCCAGGGATTGAACTCCAGGTGTTTAACCACTGAGTCACATCCCCAGCCCTTTTTCTATTTTTTTTTTTTAATTATGAGGCAGGGTCTCACTAAGTTCCTTAGGGCCTCTTGCTAATTTGCTGAGGCTGGCTTTGAACTCGTGATGCTCCTGCCTCAGCTTTACGAGTTGCTAGGGGGATTAGAGGTGTACACCACCATGAGCCACCTTTTCCCTCCCTTTGAACAAGAAATTGATAAGCAAAATTTGCCACCTCTCATCTAGTGATTTAATTCCTGTTCTTCCCTTTAAAAACCCTAGGGAACATAATTTTTGACTATCAGCATTTTTATAAAGACAAATGTTGACAGTTGTGCCAATTCTTCTCAGTGAGGCACTGTAGTTCTACAGATTGAAAGGGAACCCAAATCATTTTATTTTTTTCCCTTTTTTTATTGGTTGTTCAAAACATTACAAAGCTCTTGACATATCTTATTTCATACATTAGATTCAAGTGGGTTATGAACTCCCAATTTTACCCCAAATACAGATTGCAGAATCAAATTGGTTACACCAATGAAATTCCTCTGTAATGACAAGTATCAATTCTGAAATCAGCTGAATGCAGCGGTAGGAGATACAGGGTTAAGAAAGATCAGTGTTATGACTATCTTCTGAAAGAAATCTTTTGAGTCCCATTGTAATTGGGGAGCAGTTTTTATGCTGATTGTTTTAGGGGCATCTCTGGCTAAAATTGGGGGCTTCCCTTTTTTTTTTAGGTTCTAAATCAATTTATTGGTTGTTTCTTAGTAAAACCTTATGTGGGAAATTTAAAATTTCAGACAATATGTATTAGTCAAGAAGATTTTACAAGAAAGTCCACTTTATTTTCTATTTAATTTAGTACTGGGCATTAATCAGATAATTTGGTTTCTAAGTGTTTTGCTGCTGGTGTTTCTTTTCTTGGTTTCAGAAGTGTAAGGGACACATACAGAGAGGTTCATTTGCAGTTATGCTCACCACAGGAAACCTGAGAGGTCCCTGCTTTCTTTGGCTGGTGGACTTGACCTCTTTGTTTATGATAGGGATGATTGTCAGTACTTGCATCCAAGTGCACTTTTCCTTTTTCATTTGAGGTTCTGAGAGCTAGCCTTTTCTACTTTATACCCTTGTATAAATGGCACAAGGAAGAAAGCATGCATACTTTCTCAGGACAAGGAATAGGACATAAAGCTTTGAGGAACATTTCATGTTTTCATCCCTCCTCCTCCTTTAACGTAACATAACACCTCTTAGATTTTGAATATCACAGGACTCGAGGTACCAGGCTCTGAGAACATTAGCAACATCTTACCAAGCCCATGGTTTTCCAAATGAAGAAGGGATTGTCACATTCAAAAGGCCACAATTTTCCAATGGTTTCTTGGCCCCTCTGATAAACAAGCAATATGGCATATATTTAGTCTTAGAGGATGCCTTCACAGGTTGCCAGTGCAGTTAAAAACCTGTTAAGGGCTGGGGATGTGGCTCAAGCGGTAGTGCGCTCGCCTGGCATTAGATCCTCAGCACCACATACAAACAAAGATGTTGTGTCTGCTGAAAACTAAAAAATAAATATTAAAAAATTCTC